TTGAATACCTGTTAGTTTTTTCTATATAAATTCCGTAACTAACCCTAAGGCAGTTGCGATTATAACCTAGTCTACTGAAATAAGGGTTTAAATTTGACTAGATGGGTCCCAAAATCAATCAAAATATGTATGTAGTTAGAAATGTACGTAGAAATCTACAATACTTTAGTAGAATACAAATAACATTGTGTTGTTGTAATAACAGTCTACTGAAATAACGGATGAAATTCTACTAGATCTATTCTTTAATATTTCTTATTGGGTAATTACAATAGTGGTTCTAAATACAGTTCTAATGTTGTTGTTGTTGTTGTTGTTGTTGTAATCCGTAAAATCTATTATAATTACAAATACGTATACATGGATTACGATTTGAGTAAGTGATGATTGTAATGCCTCTGACCAGATTTATTACTCCTATTTACTACTACTATTGTCCACTTAAACTAGTGTGACATAGGACCTCAATATTTCTTCTAAATCTGACTCTGTTTGGTGCTTCTATGTAGATGTCGTTTAACGTGCTTCAGCTAACTCTCTCCACGTTTTCGCTGGCGCAACAAGTCTTTTGCTACCTTTTGGATTCCATGCCAACGCTTGCGTCGCTATGTAATCTCTTGGTTGTCTATGCCGTATGGCCTATCACTTTCTCATTTTTATCTGATTTTGTGCTGCTTATGGAGTTGTTTGGTTTAGCAGGCGTTCATTTGATATTCAATCTGGCCACCATATTTTCAGAATTCTACATAGACACTTGTTGACAAACACTTGCATCTTTTTCGTTATATGTCTGGAGTACTTCCATGTTTCACAGACGTAGATTTCACATTTGTGTTGAAGATTTGCAATTTAATCTGCCTCCTGTGTTCACTGGATCGGCATATGTTGTTAAGTTGGTTAACAAATATTGATTTGTTAAATTTTGTTTTAAAATTTCGTCAAACAAAAAAGTTTAATTAGTATTGAAATTTCTGTCAATTGTATATTAACCAGTATTTAAAAACATACAAAACAAAAATAGGTTTATATAAAACTAAATTATCTCAATTTAAATTTTTATATTTTACAAGCATTTTAAAATTCCATAAAATTTTTGTGAATTCATATTATAATGAGTTTTCGAGTACCTGTTCCACGTCAGCGTGAAACTGCACCTGAACCTGCAGCAAGAGTTCGTAGACATCATTCAACACAACCATCAGCCTATATAACTTCCATAAATGTAACATATGCTGAATTGAGTCATAACGTTCAAGTTCGTCCACTAAGAGGAAGATTGGCATCCGTATTATCAAATGCAGCTAACATAGGTCGTTCTAATGTTCCTATTCCAGCACAAATACCAAGACTTGATTCTGTATCTGACGAGAATTTATTCGGAGCATCTGAAGTTCATAGAGATATTGGGTATTCAAGCATTACGCCGGAAGATTTTGAAAACATTGCTAATTTCATGACGGGTATGGAAAGAACAAGCACTTGTTTCTATGCAAAAATGCTCTTTTTGATTGTAATTGGTCTAGTTATTCTGCTATTTTTATATTATGGAAGCACTCCAGACACTCCGAGCTATGTTAATGGAAAAAGAGTTGTAACATTTTTAGGACAGCCGGGATTAAATATTCCCAGGAATGATGACTTTTAAGACTAATCAAAAAGGGAAAAAATTAAAAGCTAATTTTTTGATTTCTGCAATTTTGGTTTCTTTCGATATATATAGTTTTAGCAGATTACATGTTTGTATTAAAAAATTTAAACTTGATATTTAATAAAATTTTATTTTTTTGTGCATAATGCAATCTATCGTTCTTGAATCAAAAACTGCTGAATTATCAAAACTGTACTCTGCAAAATCAATTTTTCTAAATTATATATTAAGTTAAGCTAGGTTATCTCAATTAGGTCTGCTCTTGCACTGTGTTGCCATATACATGTCGGAAACTCAGAAACCATGTGCTGAATATTGACAAAGCATATATGAAGCACATTTCACATCTTCCCTACAGCTAGGGCAAAAGTTATTAACGGGAATATTTAACTAAACAAGAGTAATCTTACCATAAGATTGGTACCCTTTCCTCTATGCAGTATTTTAATGTAGAAGCAAAGAATCTATAGTACAAAGAAGTGCCACGCTCATACAAACGAAATACCCACTTTATTTTGCTGGTGGATTTATAATAAATCCACCCAACCTCATGCAACAATGTTCGATCGAGTCACAACTGGTATGATGTTCAGTTCAAACTCATTGCAACCCACAATTGTTTTTATACGCCTGTTTCTTTTGCCTTTCTTGTTTTTATTTGTCTATTTAATTAATATACATGGATTAGAAACGAAGTGAATGGTAAAGAAATCCCTCAAATAATTTTTCGATATACTTTGTTGCTTTATCTTCTTGTACTGGAAAGGCCCATATCATAGGAGTAAAGAGTAATAGAATATATTATTTTTTTTATTGCAACAAATGATGCACTACAAAAACCATTATGTATGTACAAATATGATATTGGAGACATGAAGTCTACAGTATATTAATATGTATGTTTTTATTGCACATTTGTGCATATATTTTACCTCAAAAGGAACTACTTCTTAATAGTTTGAATTTTTGGTGACTTTTTGTGATTATTTTAAAAAATGTTTTTAAGATTCATATAAAAGTGTTTTAAAAGTATTTTAAAGAAAATAAAAATATTAGAAAAGTAAGAAAAATTATATTGAAAAAATGTATAGAAGTCACCAAAACCACTAATAATGCTTCCTGGTTTGAGGAAGCGCATAAATGCTATTTACAAAGGATTGAAATGTTAAAATTGGAAAAGTCAGAAAAAGGAAAAAATCAGATTTGAGACATAAATAAATTTGTTATGTGTTTTTACACTACAATTCATAACAATATCAAACAGGTAATTTTGTTTCATATGCTATCAAATTCAAAAACTTATCAAACGTACACAATTTTGACTTCGTCACTGAAATGCTGTTTGATCGTTTGAACATTTTACAGCGAACAAACATACAAACATGCGTATAATATAATACAGAGGGTTGCATGTATGATTGAATACGAATGCAGTCGGGCTTTTGTCAGCCTTACTCGACTCACATATAGGTTTAAAATGGACATCATACCAGTTGTGACTCGATCGAACATTGTTGCATGAGGTTGGGTGGATTTATTATAAATCCACCAGCAAAATAAAGTGGGTATTTCGTTTGTATGAGCGTGGCACTTCTTTGTACTATAGATTCTTTGGTAGAAGCTAGATTTTTTTCTATTTGAGAGGAACCAACTTACAGATGTCTGCATATCATTGTTTCTTTTCAAAGAAATATATCAAGAATTTTTTGTATGTGTAATAAAATAGTATAAAATAACAGTAAATACTACTGTATATACTATATATATATTATTTTCTTGCTATACTATTCAATATATCTGAACCTTTTTTTTCACTTATATATAAATAATATATATTTATAATATAATATTATATAAGTTTAGTAGTTTAATAAACAGTTTAGTAAAATTTATATTTAATTTAAAAATTTATTGTAATACAATGAATGTTATTCAAAGATAATGTATAACAATTATAATGCCTGACAGCCATTTTTGTAACTGGGTATTTAAACACTTTGGTAAATAGATTTTTCTCAAAACTGATATAAATTTACTGATGTATGATAAGTACTCAAGATATGATAATATATTCGACATCTCTCTAAAGATAAAAATTGGCATCGATACCCGGCCCAAAACCCGTCATCATTTATACATGTGGGGGAAAAGTTATACACCTAGGTACTTAGTTTCAGCTGCTAGAGCAGTGCTTCTTCTAAGAAAACTTTCACTGTTCTGGAATCAATAGAAGTTTGCCAAAAAGTTATAACTTATTGTCTATAATACTTCTATGAAAACTAATATACTTCTGTGGAAATAACATCGAATATTTTTGATAGATCATTCACATTGTTTTACTAACGTTATTAAGTAAGTCCATACATTAAGTATAATTGTATTACTAACTTTATTAAGTGATTCCATACATTAAGTAGCGCACTACTTACACTGTTTATAAATTACAGAAATACATAAAATAAATAAATAAAATAATTTTGAATGAAATAGATTAAGATATGCTAGTGACACCCCCTATCATAAAAGATGGGCTCACTTGAGCCATAAGAAGAGAGCTGTAATGATAACACAGAAAAGTTTTAAAACACTAGCTGATAGTATAAAGTTTAGTTAAGGATATTCCAATTCTTTATTAAAAAACCACTTGCTGATTGTACTCGTACAAACGCCTAGACTATATTGAGAAACTACAGTGTTTTTTTGATAAAGTATGCAATGTCTATAATGTATAAACTGGGGTTATAGAACATTTAATCCATAGGCACCTTCTGGCAAATGCCGGACAACGACGAAACTAATAACTAAATCTCATTAAAATTACTAATTAAGTGTAGAATATAGATCCTTCAACTTTTCGTCTATTTATAGTAAAAAATCATTTACCAATTGTCTACCCTCAAGTCAGTTTTATCACAAAACGAATGCTATTGTTTTCGTTGTCTTTAACTACAATTCAAATGATTTTTTTTCTAAATAAAATAATGACAATAAAATCGCTAATTTAATTTATTTTGACAAATGCTAAACGTTTTGTTATGGACGCACATTAATATTTCAGTTTAAACTTAAGTAATTCTAATCCACTTAAGTGGAAGATAATCAACTTGAGTAAATTGACTAATCAAAATGTGGTTAAGCAATATCATTGTAAATTCTAAGCACAACAGACAATTGTGTTTGTGTGGGTTGAAAACGAAATTAATCCGTAATTCTTTGCATGAAGATGAGATTTGTTATATTTTTATATGTATATAAAGAAATCATAAGAAAAAGCAACAACTCATGTGTACTCATATATTTAATTAACCCATATATATATATATATATATTAAGATAAATAAATGAACTTACATACAATTTCTCGTTTTTTAGTTTCCTTGACGATTTGGATCGGTTAGGCGCTAAGGATTATCAGCCAACTGAGCAGGATATTCTACGCACTCGTGTCAAAACAACTGGTATTGTTGAAGTGCACTTCTCCTTCAAAAATCTTAACTTCAAGTAAGTTTTTTCCACATCCAATACCGCTACAAGTCTTATTAAATTGTATTCCTATTTAGACTATTTGACGTTGGTGGGCAACGTTCTGAACGAAAGAAATGGATTCATTGTTTTGAGGATGTAACTGCAATTATTTTCTGCGTTGCCATGTCAGAATATGATCAAGTCTTGCATGAAGATGAAACTACGGTATTAATTAATAATTTATGAAAAAAAATTAACTGTTTAACAAATAATTTTTTTCGTCTCTAGAACCGAATGCAAGAATCACTCAAACTCTTTGATTCTATTTGCAATAATAAATGGTTCACAGATACTTCGATTATATTATTTTTGAATAAAAAGGATTTATTCGAGGAAAAGATTCGAAAGAGTCCATTGACAATCTGCTTCCCCGAGTATACAGGTATGTCAATTTCACTATTTGAGTGTTAAATACTCAAATGAATAAAATCTGTAATTATACATTATTATTATTTTTTTTGTCTTTTGTCGGATTAAAACATTTTGTTATTTAAAAAAATATTAAAATAAAAAAAAATAAATTTTTTTTTTCTTTTTATATATATTTAACAAACTTCTTTGAAGGTTTTAGTTTATTATTTCCGATAACAATATATACCTTTCCAATTATTATACTTTTCGTCATTTATTTTATAGATTAATTTAATTAGCAGTAGATTATTATTCAATTTTTATTTAGTTTCTGCAGTTAAAATAAATATATAAACATATATAAAATAAGTCCATGTTATTTAAAACGACTACCGCAATCCAAATAACTTTTTTTTTAATTAACAATATGTCATTATTCAATCGCTTTTTTTAAATCCTAACAATAAGTCTTAGATTCTTAGAAGCCAGGGCTTATTTACCAGATATCACAGCGCGTAATTTGAATTTAATCTCGCAATCCAGATGGCTTAGTAATTGAGATTAAATGTAATTAATATTATTTCGAACTAGTATTAATTTTTCTTTTATATTTCAATGTCAATAAATCGTATTTATTAGTGAATTTATATCAATTTTTAATCCTGTTAATGAATCCATTTTTAAATCTCTAAACTAAGTATTTTTATATTGCAAGAAAAATTTTAATCAGTTTTAAAGATGCTACCATATATTGCTAACTGTGAGTATATATTACTTCATAATATATCTTACTAAATATTATTATAATATCTTACTCAGAATATTTTACAATAGGTTTAAAGTATAATCCATTTGCTAAATCCTTTCTATACATAAGAACGTGATACACCGATCCGCGGCCATAAATTTACAGAGAAAAAAACCCAAAAATATTGGATGAAATCTTTTGGTTTTTTTTTTTTGATAAATTTCTCTGAACCAACTGCAGTATTGCAGTAAATTATATTAACTGTACTTAGACTATCGCAGCCAATTACAATTTCTGGAGAAGTTTTTACTTATTACTTGTACTTGTTGGAAAATGATCTGTAAACGCCAGCTCTTGTGAATAGTAGATTAGCCAATGCACCTATTATTGATATGCTTACCAAAATACCATACATTTGATATGGTTTCATACATACCATATCAAAATACATACTCCATTCAATTCACTGCAGATAAATACATTTTATTGACATTTGATTTGTATAGATAATTGATTCGTTTCGGATGCGGCTTCACCATATCTAACTTTACCCCTGGTTTCGTGTCGGGCTAAAGATTTGTTTTAAAAACAAATACTCATCTTTTCTATTTAGTGAATATGACCAATATTAGAGCAAAAGAACTAGGATAGGAATAACTGTTGTGCTCACCATTACACCTAACCAATTGAGCTCTTAGCCAAGTATCTAGCATCACTTTATGCAACTTTATTTTTCTATTTCTTTCTGTTAAACTTTAATTAAACCACAGGTTTTCCATTCAATACTACAAATTAAATACTATTATCTATTTCAACTTGTATAATTAATAATGTTCATAACATCATATATTATATTTTTAGGTGGACAAGAATATGGAGAAGCAGCTGCATATATTCAAGCTCAATTTGAAGCGAAAAACAAATCAACCTCAAAAGAAATTTACTGCCACATGACGTGTGCCACAGATACGAACAACATTCAATTTGTATTCGATGCTGTCACCGATGTGATCATTGCAAATAATTTGCGAGGTTGCGGTTTGTACTAAACTAAGTCAAACAAATTAAAAAAAGGAACTAATGATGGAAGCCATTTTATCTCTCTATTAACAACAATAACACAGCAATAATTGTAATGTTGATTAGAACAATAGCAGAAAATAATATAATAATAAGGACAACATGAAATTGGATTAGAAATAGTAAAATAGTTAAGCAAACATCAATCATGATCACAAAAACAAAACAACTGACACAAAATATTTTGTATATCCTTTCTAAATGCTGAAAACACTCTTTTTTCTAGACTCAGTGAGAATTCTTCAAAACTTCAATATCTTTAATTGATTTTATACTGATTGAAAAAATTGTGTTTAAATATTCAGATTTTTTATAATTGCTAAAATATTCAAGTCTATTTTTCCAGAATTGAAAAGCAAATGTTGAACGAAGTAAAGTTTAAATTATAATTGCAAATAAATTCATTATAATTTTAAGTAGTCACAAACAAACTATATATATATATATATATATATATAGAATAAAAAAAATAAATAATGAGAATCAAAAGAACAAAACGATTTACTAATACAGAAAATTTCTTCTGGAACTCATTTCATATGTAATTTTTGTAAACATAATTTAAACATTAAATTTAGCAACTTTAGTAAATAATTTTTAATAGGTGAACATGCAACAAAAAAAGGAAAACAAACGTACATTAAATACTTAAATTAACATTTTATTAAAAAAAATTCAATTCAACATAAAATATAACAAAAGCACACACATAAACGCACACAAGAAAAAGCGAGTTTGTTTTTAAGTTTTTTAAATTAAATTTTATTTATTTTAGTCTTAAAATTTGACTTTTTTTATATTGTTAACAATATTAAAAAAAAATTCTCGACCAGTTTACTTATGCCATATAAGATAAAATAAATTATTTTAGCGAACAAAAAATTTCTTCAATATTTTCATTCTCTTAATATATAATAGGTTCTATCAGAAATGTTCAAAAAATTTATTCCAAACCAATATCTTTTGATAAAGTTTCAAATAAATTAAGAAAATAAAAAAAAACGAATTTATAGTTGCAACCGGAAATATTTTCATTTATTTATATTACATTAATTTACATACATTTCAAAAACTCTCCTTATCCTCTCTGTTTATCTCGCTCTCTCTTCCTTAGTTATTATATGTAATTTTTGCTGAAACCAAATATATTTATAAAAAAAATTAGTATTAAAAAATATTCTAGTATTTTAGTTCATAACGAACAAACACAGAAAATTAATAAAGTACAGTCCCACTCAAAATTCGCACACGATTTACTCTTAAATGCTGGAAACGAAAGTTCATACTTGGCTTGAAACTAATCTCGTAGGAGAACTTAGTTTAAGTGTAAACACTATGCATTCTCTTTTAATTAAAAAAAAGTGCTGAAATAAAATCGAATTCCACAATTAAGGTTTTTGTTTATCACCCAGCAAACAAAACACAAATTTTAATAATTATTTCTCACTTCAATTTTTTAACTTTTACTTAAAATAAATAAAATTTGTATTTACTTGCATTTCAATAAAAAATATTAAGCTGAATAAGCATCCTATTTAGTTTATAAGGATGCTGATTTATTTGCATTTTTTTCAAATCAAACTATTTTTTAAAAACATGTTATAATAGCAATAAAAACACGCACATTTAAAAACAAATAATAAAATGATTTATGAGAATTTTGAGAATTATATATATATATATAATAATAAATATATAGTACTATTTCTGTATGTATAATAATTATTTATATGTTATTGTAACGTATTAAATTGTTAGAAGTGGCATTTAACACGTGTTGTGTATTTTTTATATATGTACTTTTTTTTTATTTTTATTTTACTAAATGCATAAATAGTATTTTTTATAATGTATATGTTACTGTTTAAATTTAAATTTAATTATTTGTATTTAAAATATTTATTGCATTTTGTTTCTTTATATTCATGTATACTTTGTTTAAATTCTATTTGTATCAATTAATGTGCTTCTCTTCTCTATAATGTCTCAAATACTTTCCTAAAACTTTTATTTGTATATTTTTCGAATATTTATTTATAAACTATTACTTATTTATATTTTCCGTATTTATGTTAGTTTTAAGTTAAATTAAATATATGTGTACGATTAAAATAAAAATTCGAAAATTCTATAAACCAATTGTTTTTAATGTAATAAAAAAAATAAATTATTAAAAATAATAATATTTCAATAAATATCAATTTGTGCAATAGAAAAAACTATAAGAAATTTAATTTAAAAAAAATTGTTCGCGTGGTGTCTATTGTTTACTGATATATATATAAATTTTATATATATTTATTCAAAAATATATTAATAAAAATTAAAACAAAAATTTTTTGTCTTAAAACTTTTTAAGGTTGATTATATACAATTTAAAATCATATAATTAGTCTTTTTCTTCCTTTTCTAACATAATTCCATATATTTTGGAGTAATCAGTTTATATACAGCAGTATTATTTTTTTATTTTTGTTCTTTTTGTTTTTATAAAGCATACGAAGATAGGGAAGATTGTTTTTTTATTTTATTTTATTGTATTTTATTTTGTATATTTGTTTAAAGTTAGTTACGTTTTATTTTAAGTTTCATCACTTAAATTTATTCTGATTGTTGATCTCATCTTATTCCATTCATTGTTTTTAATTTAATAATTAATTAATCTTATCTTAACTATATTAGTCATTTAAAACAATTTAAAACAATTTTAGTGAATTGCTTTTTTAACATTAAGGTTGTAAAATTTTATGGTTTTCAATTAAAATTATTTTATATTTTTCAGTTTAATTTATATATATTTATTATATTTTGTTATTGTATATTTTATTATTATTTATTTTATAACTACTGAATTTATTATTAGCGTTATTATTTTTGATTTCAATATTAATCTTAATTGTTATTTACAGAATATATAAATATAATATTATATACATATATATTAAATATTATTAAATATATTAATATTAAATTAATATATTATAATTAATATATTAATTAATTAATATATTAATATATTATATTAAATATTATATATATATTCTTAAATATCAAATAGTAACATTTTTTAAAAATTAAAAACTAAATTAAAATTTTAAATTATTAAGCAGTTTTATTCATTTAAATTTGTATTTATTAAATGTTTCTTAACGTATATTGCATTTTCTTTTTACAATTTAGGTATCCGTATCTATATATTTTATATTTTTATATATATATATATATATTAATAATATATATATATATATATATTTAATATATTATATATTTTTTTTATATATATATTTTTTTTTTTCCACTCATATTAATTAAGAAGCAAACAAAATTTAGGACTAGAATAAAAAATCAAAGTGATATCCCTATCCTATGATAAACTACTTCATATTTAATTAATGTTATCATTATTTTATTTATTTTTTTATTATTAATATATTATTGATTTTATTTATTTAACTTTTATGTCTTATAAATGTTTTTTAAACACAATTTATATTTTATTTTCGCATAAATGTTATAATTTATAATCAGGTATATTATTTTTAGAATTTATAACATATTTAGCACGTCATTATGGTCTCTTTATTATTTTATCTTTGTTAAATTAAAAATAATTTAATTTTCTTATATGCAATTTTATCAGCTATAGTTTTAATTGGTTAATAAATGTCTGAAATTTAAAAAGCTTGATTAAATTGTTCAACGAATTTAGTACTTCTCAGAGAATAGTATTTACTTAGTATAAACTGTATTTTGTATATAAAAAAATTATTTAATACATTTCTATTAACAATTTTAAATGTGGTTCTCTTATTGTACTTGTCAGTTGATTTGAAGCAGAAAATGTTAATGAAAATAACATTTAAAATAATACAAATTAATAATGAAATAAGTATAAATGCCCTCAATAATATAAAAATTAGGTAAAATGGCATTTAGTTTATGTATAAATGAATTTTTTTTATTTAATACTATCTTTTTTTATATATCAAATCGCTTTAAACAACAAACTTAAGTTGTACACTTTATACTTGCATTTACCACACTAACACACATAAAAACATAAAAATAAAAACAAAATTTATAATAAAATTGAACAAAAATCCTAAGATTTGTAATAAATATATAAAAATAATAGCTCATATAATTCATGCACAAAGATGAAACAATTAAAAAATTATATATATCTAAAACGACTTGATAAGAAAAAATTATATTTACTTTCTACTTCAATTCACAAAAAACAAAAATTAATAAAAAAAAATTTATATATTCATATAAATAAAAATCTTCTACAAAAAGAAAAAAAATAACAACGTGACCATTTTTACAAATATTTAATAATTGTAATTATTATTAAAACAAATAAATAAATAATTATAATAAGAAAAATTATACTATAAATGATTATAAATTAAAACTTTATGCTAAATAAAATGTAATTATTTAAAGTTATTTATAAACAATATAAACGTAAATTTAACTTTACATATATTTTTCTCGTATATTTGATTTGAAAACTATTGAAATAGTATATTATATATATCAAAATTGATTTATCAAATTTCAACTTCTAAATTAAATACTGCAATTTAAATAATAAACAAAAAAAATTGAATATTTTTTATTGAATAGTTTAAAATCAAAACCACATACAAACTAAACTTGAAAAATTTATATTACTAAATAAATCATAAAAACTTATATATAATATATATATTTAATACTTTTTGTCAATATAAAGCATGAACTCGCTCTTAAATCTCAGTGGTCTCATACTAATTTAAATTGCCGTAAGGAAATAACCAACAATAAAAAATGTATAACCAAAAAATATTAATTAAATTATTTTGTATAATTCTTATTTTTATATAATACACCAAAAGTAACTAATAATTAGTTTAATATACATATTGTTTCCAAATATATTTGCAACATATTAATATATGCTAGTTTTCAAACCAATTCGAAACTCGTATATCTTGAGTTTTCGCTCCGGTTCCATTAAGTAATAAAACTCTTTCTCCTACATTATTTTATATACCCTTGAGTTCTAAAACCATCTAAGGCCTATTCGATCTTATGAAATCATTTTATTGATAAATTCCTGCCTAATAATAATAGGAAACAGTAAGGAATATACTTTTCTATTTGCTGAAAATAAATTTTGGGTAAATTCGCACAGAGTCCGCTCACAGTTTCCTCTCTTACACACGTTCATTCGCATATTCGCATATGGTATAACTCATTGAGATTGAATTTAAAATCCTTGACT